GGAACTTTCAGCAGTAAGGTGTTTTAGTAATCTTTACAATTCTTTGTATAGCTGCTGCCTGTTTGGGGGAAGTCATATGACTATACAGTGTTAAAATTGAGGGTATGAACCTGCATACTTGGGTCATTTTGCCTTTCCTTGCCTACTTGCCACCAGTGGGTAGTCAAATAATGGTCAACTGAACATAAGAGAATCTTGTGGGTATATGCATGACTTTGGGAACATGCTTTGTGCTCATAAATCTACAAGACCATGTTAGACTTCTTTCTGGAATGTGGAAGAAGACTGGTACTTCTGGGTCAATTCCCAGTTAGGGACTGTTTTTACAGTTTCTTCCCCTATATGCTCCCCACCTTCTCTCATTCTTGCTCATCTCTAGATGACTACTTAAACAAATATATAGGAAAAAAAAACAGTATATACAGAGTTCTGTACTTTCCATACATCCACTGGGAGTCTTAGAACATATTCCCAGTGGATAACAGGAACTACTGGATTAATGGTAATAGTAAATAAAAACCTTAACAACAAATATCAACATTTTAAATGTACATACTCTCCAACCCAGAAACTCTCTTACAGGATTTTATTTAATAGATACAGTCATATCAATAAAACCTGGGATATTTAGCAACAGGCAACTGATTAAATTAGTACAATAAAAAATGAAATACCAGGTACTATGAAAAAAGAGGTAATTCCAAATTACTGAAATGACCAAATATACACAAGATATAATTTCAGCAAGTTTTAGGGCTTGTATACAGAATTTCAGCCATATTTTTTGAAGGATATAGCTAAATACATAGTATTACTAGAGCTATATCTATAGATTATGCTATATATTTTGGAAATATATCATCCCACAATTAGTGTTTTATAGTAAATACTCCTAATACAAGAAACATATATTCTTATTATACAAGAGCAAATTTTAAATGATGAAATGATAAAAGAACATTTTTAAAGCCAATTGTGTCTATTTTTAAATATGAATTTATTCATCCATTCATCTCATTCATTCAACAAATATTTACTGAATGACTTTTAAGTGTGGCACTGTCCTAGATGGAGGAGGAGAGAGAATAAATAATAAAATATTTAACAAGCTAAATGGTGTAAGAAAGGCATGGGAGGAAATGAAGAGTCCTGTGATGAAGTTCTTTAGTAGGAAAGGTACCTCTAAAAAGATAGCACTGGAACAAATATTTTTAAAACAGAAGCAGCAAGACATGTGGCTAAAAAGGGGGGAGCTTTCCAAGCAAAGAAAATAAAGTACAAAATACCTAAAGAGAGGGTATACACATGGAGGAATTGCAAAGAGGCCAGGGAGTTGGAGGTTCTGCCTGAGGGGTGAGGAAGAGATAAAGTGGGAAAGGTAAGGCTCTTACAAATCCTGGTTGGAATTTTTAAGAAATTTGGCTTTTATTTTGAGTAAAATGAAAAATAACTTTTTGAAAAAGTGACACAGTCTGACTTTCTTTTGAAAAGAATCATTCTTGGTGCTATACCAACTATAGAACGCTATTGAAACAATCCTTCCAAAATGAAAATACCTTGTTCTAAAATGAGAGTAGAAAGGAGTTAGGTAGCCGTGATCAGACCCTGAATATACCTTAAAGACAGGGACAAAAAATTTGCTGAGGGCTTGGATTTGAGGACTGATGTGTTAGTCAGCTTTTCATCACTATGACTGAGATGATACCTGACAAAAATAGCTTACAGGAGAAAAGATTTATTTTGGCTCATAGTTTCAGAGGATTTGGTCCCTATATGACTGGCTGGCTCCATGGGAGAAACATCACAGCAGAAGGGCATGACAGAGAGAAGCTGCTTATTAGCACAAGGCAGCCAGAAAGCAGAGAGAAAGAGAAAGAGGAAAGGAGAAGATAAACCTTTCCAGGGCATGCCCCCATGACCTACTTCCTCTGTCCCACTTTCCAGTAGTCTATTCAGCTATCATTGATTAACCTGCTGATGAAGTCAGAGCCTGACAGGATCAGGGCCTTATGATCTAAACATTGTTTAAAGCCCCACCTCTGAAATTCACTGCACTGGAGAGCATGTTTTCAACAAATTAACTTTTGGGGCACATTTCAGATTTAAATCATAATGAATGACCAAAAAAAAAAAATGCTCAAGATATCTTTAAGTTCCTTGGCTAGCCTCATGAGCTGAAAGGATAGGGTTGCAATGTAAAAAGAAGGAGGACAACAGGAGGAGCAGATCTGGGAGGACACTGTTCCAGGCATGCTAAGTTTGCGATGTTTATTAGGCAACCAAGGAAAGATGCAAGGATGCAGGCTGGATATACAAGATAAGAATTCAAAGAGGAGGTCAAGAAAATGCTCTTTGTATGTTGCATAGCAATGACAGTACTGACCCCAAATACTTACTATCTGATTTTTTAAAATAAGCAATGCTAGCTTTTAGTCTAAATAAAATTGTTGATTGGAATTTCTAAAATTTAGGATTAAGAATTTTTTTTTACTTTATAACTAAAACCCTTAATTTTAAAGATTATTTTGTCTATATTTTTATATTTAATAGCTATTGGCATTTCTGTCATACTACAGCATGATGGCCAACTGCAATGGAAAATTTTTATGATCTGAGAAAAAGAAAGAACTATGAATATGAAGAAATCTGTAAGTCTAGGAGAAATTCCTAAGATAAAGAGTTAAAACCAAGACAAAGTTTATGAATGAAAAATGTCCCAGGGCTGGGGATTTAGCTCAGCGGAAGAGTGATTGTCTATAATTCATAAAGACCTGAGTTGAATCCTCAGCACAGAGGGGAAAAAAAAATGTCCCAGAATTAGGACATATAGGACATGTTTTCTTACATGTTTTCTCCTCAGAATGTTATTTCCAATCTTGTATGGAAAATAAGTGGGTGAAAAATGATTCATTTCCACAAATAAGTTTGGAATCAAACATGCTAGGGTTTATCTATAGTACTTCTATGAACTGTTACATGAACCTTATTTTAACTACTTGTACTAGATAAAATATAGAATTGTTTGGAGAGTAGTATTACTGTTTTTGCTTTTTCTGAAATGGCATCCAATCAGGCCATAAAATATAAAATCATATGTTAGCTAAAACAAAAACTGCAACCAAAATAAAGAAATATAAACATGTAAATCAAGCCAGGTTGTTCTTACAATTCTTTTACTAAACAATTCAGTTCATAGAAACTAGTGGTTTCTTCTTGATGGAATCTGACATAGGCTAAACCCACCCAGAAGCAGAAGGCAACAGAATTGGAATATGTGGTATGGAGAGGCCAAACTCCAAATACAGAGCAGATGGCAGGGCAAAACTGGCTGAAGAGTGGATTTCTCAGGAGATTTGTGCCAGGGTATGGCCAAGACAGAAGATTCTGAAGTGAAGTGGCAAGGAGCAGCTGGGCTAGTTTCCTGTGAACTACTACTCCCATACTCCAGAAGCCTCCTATTCAGTCAACACAATCCTGAAATATCTCACTCACATGTCTCATTTTGGAGGGTCACAAACTGAGTTTGTGTCAGATCTTTCATGTCTTTTGCCCAAGAAACTGTAGTAATGTTTTAAAAGTAGAAGTGAGTACAAAGGGAAAGGTGAAAAATGATTACAGATCTGTTCACTGGTAGCATACCTGATGTACTCCCCCATAAGATTAAGAGGACTGAGCCATAATAATAAGCATTTACTACAGTCTCAGAAGACAGCCAAACCCCATTCCGAATGTCTATTTGCTTCCCACAATTTCAACATAATAAACACAATAATCCAGATCCTTTAATCATAGAACAATGAAAGTTTTAGAAATACATTGTATAGTACAACCTCATTCATCAGAAAAAAAAAAAAAAAGTAAATGAAACACAGAAAGGCTAAGTTGTTTGCCCAAGGTCACAAATTTCCTAAGAAGCACAATGATGTTCCCTAGAACTCCTTGCTATGTTTATTGCTTCCAAAAGAGCTCATTCAACCTTGTAAAGATAAAAAAAAACACAAGCAAAGCAAATTTACTAGGAAATAAATTACATAAATTGTGAGCTGTATAAACTAAAACACTCAAATATTTAAGTCACAAAAATGAAAAATATATTCATAAGCATTTTCTTAATTAGCCCGAACTTAACACATTTATCATTATAACAAGCATCTCAAGAATATACACATTTAAAAAACTACCTTTTTTGAGTAGTAAATTATAAATCTCTAATGCCTTTTTAAACTGTCAGTTTATCTGAAATAGTCCTGCATTTCATAAATCCTGTAAAACAAAATCCATCTAATTTGTTAATGAAATAAAATCACAAAAAATAGCATATTGTAATTACTTGTAAGTTTCCATTTGGAAAAAGGGTGGAATTAGGGAAACTGGCAGAAGGTGAAAACAAACCTTTCTGTAATGTGTAGAAATCATGGTTTTTTCCTATTAGCGTATTTTGAAAAACAAAAATAAGACAAAGAATGACTTTTGTTCCCCTAAGCAAATATAATTTTTAAAGTAACCACAATTTGCCTAGTTTTTAAATTTTCTCATAATTTTTCACATTAAGATATCAATGACTTATAATAAGCAAAGTATTTAGCTTGATGGATGCCAATGATTTAGATTCTATAATTACATGTAAATATAAAGGTTAAGAAAAGATGAGGCACTTTTGAAAATGAAGAATCAATGAATATACTTTAATTTGCGCAATATCAAAACTTAGAGAAAAGATAATATTAGCAAAATTATACCATTTCAGAATGGAAAATTACTACATAAACCTATGAGCATATGGACATGCTACAAGATTAAACAAAGAAAAAAACAAGGAAGAAAGGATTGATTTTCCTTAACTGATACATGTTATTGTGACAGTTCATATTCTGTGTCAACTTGACATCAAGAATTAGTCAACAGAAGAGAATCAATAAGACATCATTAGAAAAACTATTTCAAAGTATCACCTATGTCAGTTATCCTAATTCACAATGTAAGAAATATTTCAAATATACCTGTATGCTGCCAAATTCAACATTCTCATAATGGAAATGTGCACATTCAGCCATCTTCGGAAAGTGACCCTTAGTGAAGGGTAACCTGAAGTACATGAAAATAAATATGAAATAAGATAGTGGGAGAGTCAAAATTACCAAGTCTCGGGAATACACAATAGGTTAAAGATTTCATGCAAGCAAAAATAATAAGCACATGCATATGAGCCATATGTATCCATACAAATCTTCTCAGAGAGACATCAATCAAAAAATATTACACTTAGCACACAGATCTAAACCAAAAATGAAAAATTAAAAATAAATCACTATCCTCTCCTAATCTTGATCCAAGTCAGTGACTACAGAAAAACTACTTTAGGTGAATATTATGAAAACTAACTGTGAGCTGTCAGCTTCTAACCAGAAGCAGCATTCACAACATCAAGTACAAAACTGGATTTTACCTGTGAATGTTGTCACAGCCCATCAGTCCTGGAGTAGTAGACCTGAATGCAGAATGAACATTTTTATCCTGATCTTTCCTCTACTTATACATGAAGCATAGCTAGCTACCTAACCTTCCTTTACCAAGTAAAAAGTAGTTTCTCTCTTTAAAGATGCATGGGAAAGATTCAGGTATTTCACTGAACAGCCAACTAGTGGCATCTATCAGGCAAACCTGACATCTAGTGATCTAATAACTCGAACAGAGCTGATTTTTCTAAATGAATGACCACATAAATTAAAGGTACCAAAAAGGGCATGCCTGGATTGTTCCTATTAAACAAATTCAACCTAACAGACAATGACATTTCAAGATTAAACATACAATATATTTTTAGAAAAGCAGATAATCTGCAAGCCTATTTCCATTAATTGTTGAGTCACAATTTAAGGCTTAACAGTATAATTTAACACATGCAAAGTAAGAGCTTATTTATAAGAATCTAAAAAAAAAGCTTTAACAGAATTACAGAACTGACTTCCATTTATAGGAATGCATTTAGAACCCACTCCAAAGTTATACTTACTTTTTCACATGTTTAACTTTCATACTCGCTGTATTGCCACATGTCTTAAGAGTAAGATCTCCAGGAATCTCTGGAACATCTGCTCCTCGTGCCTTCAAAAAATAAAGACAAACAACTTATGAGGATTCCTTTAGTATTGATACTTTTTAAAAAATGGATTGTAGTTAATTTTAGTGGCTCTGCTCACTTTATCTTTATAGAAATATACTGTGGCTTCATAATCTCTTCTTAAAATTACAATTTTCCTCGGTTTTAATTACTAGCAATTAGAGAAATACAAATCAAAATCACTCTAGTATTTCATCTCACTCCAGTCAGAATGGCAGCTATTATGCATACAAACAACAATAAGTGTTAGCAAGGATGTGTGGGAAAAGGTACACTCATACACTGCTGGTGGGACTGGAAGTTGGTGCAGCCAATATGGAAAGCTGTACAGAGATTTCTTGGAAAATTGGGAATGGAACCACCATTTGACCCAGCTATCCCTCTCCTTGGTCTATACCCAAAGGACTTAAAAACAGCATACTACAGGGACACAGCCACATCAATGTTTATAGCAGCACAATTCACAATAGCTCAACTGTGGAACCAACCTATATGCCCTTCAATAGATGAATGGATTAAAAAATGTGGCATACATACACAATGGATTATTATTCAGCAATAAAAGAGAATAAAATCATGGCATTTGAAGGTAAACTGATGGAGTTAGAGAAGAAAACACTAAGTGAAGTTAGCTAATCCCCAAAAAACAAATGCCGAATGTTTCTTTGATATAAGGAGGCTGATTCATAGTTGGATAAGGAGTGAGAGCATGGGAGGAACAGATGACCTCTGGATAGGGCAGAGGGGATGGAGGGGAAGGGAGGTGGCATGGGGTTATTAATGATGGTGGAATGTGATGATCATTATTACCCAAAGTACAGCTATTAAGACATGAATTGGTGTGAATAACTGTGTAAACAACCAGAGATATGAAAAATTGTGCTCTCTATGTGTAATGAGAATTATAATGTATTCTGCTATCATATATAAACAAAAAAATTTTCTTTAAAAGGTGTGTGTGTGTGTGTGTGTGTGTGTGTAATAAAGACACACAGATGGAGACCTGAGAGAGAGAGAGAGAGAGAGAGTGTGTGTGTGTGTGTGTGTGTGTAATAAAGACACACAGATGGAGACCTGGTGCATACCAGGCAAGCATTGTACCACTGAGTTACATCCCAAACCCAAAAACAATTTTTGGGAAAAAATAAATAACCAAACTAGTTTGAATAAGCATTTTTTCAAAAAAAGAAAACTTTTCAAAGATATGAGGTAGCAATTATGAACTTATATAAATTAACCCTTGCTTTCACAATAGAGTACACCTAATTTTTGTTTTTAAGGGGTTTTTTTCCTTAGCAAACTTATCTATTTAAGACTTAATAGTTCATGATTTAATCCTTCTTAGAAGTCTTTTATTCTCTTAAAGGTCTTCCAATGAAAAAGAATATGTACTATATTGTTTAGAGATGAAATAAAATTCTATCTCACATTTTCCATGTAGATTACACTGGACCTTTTTATAAATATAAGATAGGATCTTGTATTATCTTTCCTTTGTCTAAGAACGTATTTTTAAATACCCTTAGGTATTATTATTTCATCAGTACTCACCATCATTCATTGATTATTCTCCACCATGCAAAAATATTTTAAAAGACTAAAATAAAAAATATTTAAAAGAAAAAGGAAAATCGAGGAATCACCTAGAAGAGATTGGCAAACTTTCTCTTGAAGGCAGCTGACAAATATTTTAGGCTGTGGGCCACACTATACCTACCATTCTTCAACTCTGCTATAGTGGCACAAAAGCAACCACACGAAAATGACCAAACATGGCCACACTCCAATACAGCATGGTAGGTAGCAAATGAGATTTGCTGACCTCTGACCTACAAGGCTAATCCCATAGTGAAATAATTCATCACCCAGCTTTTATATTATGTTGCCCAATACGTTGTATCTTTCAAGGAAGTATTTTTTAAAGCTAGGACAGAACCTTTGTAGTCTGCATTTTATCTTTAATTTTTTATCACCCAAACCATGCATGTGGTATTTTTTTATCAAGGGGTCGAAACCTGGCCAGTCACTGAGTCCTGGCACTCTCGGCCTCTTGCTCTGCATTGGCCATTAGCCACTTCGGGGCCCTGAGATTCTAATTTCATTGATTATACTAACTAATTCCATAGTTTTTATTTTCTACCCACAATAGAAAAGAGAAGAAAACTGACAAAAAAAAAAAAAAAGATTTCACAATGATCAGAAACATCAAAAGTGCCAAAACAGCACTGTAGATTACCAGTGTTGTTTAAAGTGACATGACATTTCTGACTAATGATAATAACCTAAAAGAAAATAATGAGTTAAGAATTAATAAGTATAAATGTATTTCTAAAGAAAAAATAAATATGGTATTTTCTCCAGTTAGTCAACTGAAAGGACTTTTTCATGTAATATTATGAAACAAAAACTTGGATCACCTTTTTGGTTTTTTGTTTGTTTGTTTTAAAAAAATATCATGCAGTACCATTTCATCATTTGTGAATGTTTGCATACCAAAATTTATTTGACATAAGAGGTTTGCTATGCTTAAATTACTATTAAAATTTCTAATGAGTTGATTTTTTATTACTTATGCTATAAGTTTCTCATGAAATTCAACTTTTATGAAAGAATAAAAAAGGCCCCACTGGACTGGGTTGGTAAACAGTGATGACTCTATTTGGTAGACTAAAAATTAAAACATTAACTTTTTTTTTTTTTGAGAGAGAGAGAGAATTTTTTAATATTTATTTTTTAGGCTGTTCGCCGCTGCATCTTCGGGCAGAGCCTGCTCTGGGGTCGTTCTGCATCCCCCTGCGAGGGGACCCATGCTCCGGAGGAGGGGGCCGGAGAGCCGCGGCTACAGCCGCTTGGGCCCCGGGGGCCGGGCGCCGGGCAGAGGAGCGGCGGAGGCCGCAGCGGCGCCACTACGGTCGCAGACGAGTGTGGCGACCCTGAGCGTGGCCCAGAGGCGGCGGCGACGGCGGCAGGGTTTCATTTTTAGAAATCTGGACTGGAAACAGAAGCAGCAGTTTGTATAATCCCGAGAACTTCCTTATGCCAGGAAGCTGTAAGGGTAACATGAATATCATTGAGGAGATCCAACATGGTGGCGGGCGTGGAGAGATCAAGTCTCTGACCTCTTCAGCTGCGCGGGCATAGGGAGCCGTAAATTGTTTAAATGCTGTTTGCTCAGGATCACTAGGCAATGCTGAGCTGACGTGGACCTGGGGCGAACAGTATGGGCCCCTCAGAACACACACACTGAGCCCGGATCGGCTACATTCAAGCTCCGGTTCGCCTGCTTCTCGTGACTCAGCACTAAGGATCCCGCTGAAATAACTGGTCGGCCCTTCTGAACTTACAGAGGTAAAAGCCAACCGAGCCTTCATAGGCAGTGGCCACAGGATTGAAACAGGGATTGGGAGAAACAGTCAGGACCCACCCGTTGCATTGGTCACCCGGCAAAGGGAACGAACGGTCACCATTTGCATGGGATACCACCTTGGCAGAGAACTGACATTACGGGCGGAGGAGATAACTTCATTGAAACCAGCGCGACAGGTGTGTAATCCCCTAGCCATCTCTCTCCACACAGCGGGGAAACCTTAAGGGCCCCTCCCAGCTCTCCCGTTAGGGCCCCTCCCAACTCTCCTGTGAGCGCGATAGCCAGACCGAGGGAATCAGGAGTGGCGTGGGACTCGCGGCGCGGAACTCCCAGCTACCACTCCCACCAGTGCTGACAACTGAGGTCTCTTGCACCAGCTACCAGGAGCGTGGCTACCGGAGGACAAGCAAATTCGCTGGGGGTTCTCAGCCCCAACCTCTACAAACTTAGGGTCTGAGGGAGGCAAACAGGGAGAGTGTGCCCAGGCGTTCATGAAAACAGGGCTCCCAGGAGCAGCAGACCTGGCATGTAGCCAGTATTGTGGTGAGCGTCACAGGTGAGCGGGGCCTGGCTTGAGGAAACAAAACAGAAGGCCCTAGACACTCAGGATTGGAGATCCGCCCAGTCTGGGAGGAAGAGCTGCTGCACAGTGATTGGTTCCCACCTTTTGAGAGGAGAAGCTTGGCCCAGTGGGCACAGCTCCACCTACTGGAAGAGAAGTTAATCGAACTCTATGACTGCATTTATTATTATTATTTTTTTTCTTTTTCTTTCATTTTCATTTTTTTGTTGTTGTTGTTCTTTAACTTTTTTTAATGTTTTTAATTTTTTTAATGTTTTTTATTTTATTATTATTTTTTAATTTTCATTTTCATTTTTTTATTATCATTACTATTTTTGTAAAAATTTTTTTTCTTTCTTTCTTTCTTTTCTATTTTTTTGTTTCTTTTGTCTTTTCATTTCTTTTCAATTTTCTTACTCCCCCTTCCTTGAATTCTACCTGCCTACTCTCATTCTCTTTAGTGACTTCTTCCCATCCCTTCTAATATCTTTCCTCACAAGCATCAAATAAATTTATAAGAGTAAACAGTAACTCAGCAAACAGAACAAGAAGTAACATGAGCAGCATAAAAAAGCAAGGAAGAAAAGGAGTACAAACAATGAAGGACAGCCTAAATATTCAGGAGGACCTAGAGTCAGCAGGAAAATGGTCATATAAAGAACTCAAGAAATACCTTAGACAGATGGAATGGAACCTTAAAGAGGATACGAGACAGGAAATACAAACAGTGAAAGAACACATTGAAAATGAATTACATAAACAGATAAAAGAAGAAGTTAAGCATCTTTATCAGGAGAAAGAGATTATAAAAAAAATCAAACAATAATTCTAGAAATGAAGGAAACGATAAACCAAATTAAAAACTCAATTGAGAGTATCACTAACAGAGTGGAGCAAGTAGAAGCCAGAACGTCAGATAATGAAGACAAAATATATCATCTTGAAAAGAGCCTAGCCAACTCAGAAAGGCTGATAAAAAATCACGAGAAAAACATCCAAGAGATATGGGATAACATAAAAAAACCAAACCTACGAGTCATTAGGATAGAGGAAGG